GGGCAAGAGAGATCCGACACATGAATAAAGAGTGAGGGAAATATAGAGTTGTAAGGATTACTCTTTCCTGCATGATTTTTAATGTTATTTTAGTCACTTTTCAAAAAAGAAAGCTATGATTAATTATTGTTAATTTTATTTTACATTTTGTTTGAATTTATGATGAATTATTTTAATATTATTTTACATTCTGATTAATCAAGGCTTCATCGTTGTTGCTTTGCAATCATCTCAATGTTTTTCATATTTTTAATATTCTTGACATATTTTTTGAATAGTTCTATTAATTACTATAGATCTAAAACAAAAACTAAATTTCTATGAATGAACTCACTATCAATTAATTATAAACACTGAGTTGCATGTATATATATATATATAGGTTGTATAATGTGTACATATTACAAGATATAGATAATGTTGAACAATTGTACAAAGATAAGAATTATAGAGTGAAATAAGGAGATAATATTTATGGAGTGAGAGCGTTTAGGAGATCAGTTCAAACTGTAGTTATCTATTCAATTGTGAGTTACTTGGCTGACTTGTATTCAAACTCTTCTTATCATTATCTGCCCTCCGCAAGTAGATAGGGAGAGGATGCACCATCAACTTGTTCCTTAAGAAAGAAAGTCTAGAAGACCTTAGTGGTTTAGTAAAATTATCGATTCACTGATCTACACTAGAAATGAAGTGAACATCCAAGGCCTTGCGAGCAACATGCTCTCGAACAAAGTGGAAATCGATCTCTATATTCTTGGTACGAGCATGGAAAATAGGATTTGTAGTTAAATATGTCGCACCAAGATTATCACACCAGAGGACAAGAGGAGAAGCGGGAAGAATAACAAGTTCACGAAGTAAGGATTGGAGCCAAAGTAATTTTGAAATAGCACATGCTATGCTTTGGTATTCAGACTCCATGTTGGACTGAGAAACGGTAGCTTGCTTTTTGGAAGACCATGAGATCAAATTGGGGCCTAGGTAGATACAAAAACCACCATGAGATCTTTTGTCATTCAGGCTTCCTGCCCAATCAACATCTGAGAATGCATGAAGGCAAAGAGAGGTAAGAGGAGCAACGACCAAACAAATCCCATAATGAATAGTGTGTTTCAAATATCTGAGTATGCACTTGATTGCACTCCAATGCTCAGTAGTGGGAGCATGCATGTACTGACATACCTTGTTGACAAAAAAGGCTATGTCAGGATGGGCTATGGTTAAGTACTGCAAAGCACCAGCGACACTCCTATATAAGGAAGGATTAGCTGGAAGAACATCTCCACTGTGCTGTTGAAGTTTACAAGTGGATGCCATGGGATTTCCATAAGGTCTTGCACCATCCATTTGAGCTTTCTAAAGAAGATTCACTATGTATTGTTTTTGAGACAAAATAGTGTTATTGGAGTTGCAAACCACTTCAAAACCAAGAAAAAAAAAATGTAAAGAACCCAAGTCCTTAACAGTAAAGGAGGTGGTCGTGTTAGCAATAAGATTTGATACAACAATGGAGTGTGAACTAGTGATAATGATATCATAGACATAGATGAGTATAAACATAACACATGTAGGAGGTTTAAATATAAATAAAAAAGTATCTACTATAGATGCCCTAAATCCAAGATTCCTCTCTGTTTATTCTTTTATCAAAACAAGATTCCCTTTCGAACCTCCTCATTAGCCTGAAGCACCTACAACCCAAATCTCCTTGATCCTAACACCTCTGAATCAATTAGACCATATAATTGAAACCTAGACACACCTAAAACGTATACCCATAAATTTTCATGATTTTGGCCCTCCAAAATCAATCAGATGCTTCCATAAGATCCTAGACACCTAAAAGCCATACCCACAAAAATTCAGCCCAAAATATCTTTGTTTGCCCCCATTACACTAAGATTTCATTTGGAAGCTTCACATTGACTAAATTAGCTCCTTTCTAAATCTGCTCGTTCTCAACATAATTGGGCCAGTATGACCCTAACAATCAACCCATAATGTTCAAAAACACCACCCTGCCAAATTTCAACAAAAAATTTCATCATTTCCCCCTCCATCACACCAAGATTTTGTTTTAAAGTTAATAAATTAATTGAATCACTACTCCTCTAGATCTGCCTAATCCAAGCCTATTTAGGCTAATCTGACCCCACTAATCGATTCAAAATGCCTAAAAACCCCACCCTATAAAATTTTAGTCAAAAATACCCTTGTTTTCCATTCATATAGAAAGATTCCATTTTAGCCAATCTTATTGACTTGTATACGCAAAACCACTTTATATACTAAAATCCATCTCCACCCTTCATTTTTCTAACTCAAAATACCCACTACTAGATTAGAATTTTGTTTTGGCCTCCTTAAACCCTAATTAACTAAAATACCCCCCAAGCTTACCAAAATTACCAAAATACCTAAAATAAATAAGTAAATACCATAATTAATTACAATATTTTATTAATGATATTTTTGTCATTAATTCTGGTATTTATTTAATTATTTAATTATTTAATTTGTTTAATTAATAAATAGTACTTATGAAAATACTATTAATTAATTAACGGTATTTTGATATACTTAATTAGTAATTCATTAACTAACAATAGTTTTTAATAATTATGGTATTTATTTAATTATTTAATAATATTATATGTATTTTTTGTAACAATAATATTTATTAATTATGGTATTTAATTAAATAAGTATCGTAATTAATTAATAAATACCGTGAAATAATGTATTGCTAATATTGTTAATTAATTAAATAAATTTAATAATTAAAAAATTCACTATGAAAGAGGGAGAAAGGAGTGATAAAGTGGTGTCATGAGGGAACAAGAAAGGCTAAATTGAAGAGTGTTTGAGAGTTCTCGGTTGGAATAAGGCAGTTATATATAGAAAACTTTCTATTAAACAACAAAATTTTCTATTGAGATTCTAAAATTATTATTAATAAATATCAAATTTCTGAAAGTTACTTTCTAGAATTATTAATTGATATAAGTGAAATAATGTTTTTATTATTAGTACATTAATAATTGCAATTATTATTCTATTTTTTAATATCTATTAAAAACGTTTTTTGAAAGTTGTTACCTATTTTTGTTATTTGAAACCTTCAATACCTCTAAATATTTAAAAATTTTTAAGTTATATATTTCTTATTTAATCTTTTATATTTTTTTTAAATAATATTTAAAATAGGATTTATTTATCATTTTTTAATATGTAAAATATTTACAACTAGTTATTTACAATATTATTTATCTAAATACCACTATTTAGTTATTTCAATATTACTTATTTATTGAATTCTATAATCCATAAAATTATAAGTTATACTATTATTACATAACTTTGTTATTAATTTTGTAAGATATAAATTTATTATTAATTCAACTACCATGAAATCTATTATAACGATTTTCTACTTTTAATAAAATTTATGTTTATTGCATTATTTTGTTATTTTAACTATTTAAAATTTAGTTATTTAAAATGTCATTATTTAGTTCTTTAGTTATTTTAACTATGCAAAATTTAGTTATTTTAACTACTTAAAATTTAGTTATTTAAATTTTTTTACATAATTTCGTTATTTAAAAAATTTCATAATTTAAATTTTACTTATCTCAAAAGTTATTACATATATTAAATATTTTGATATGTACTATGTTTAATATTCTGTTATTTATAATATTTAGTTATTGAAAATTTTAAATAATATTTTTTTTTAATTTTAAATATCTATAGTTTTAATAATATTTAAATTGAATAATTTGTAAAATTTTAATTTTTATTGTTACTACAGAATTTTGTTATGAATTTCATAAAAGTATAAAATTATTAATAATATGAATATTATTAAGTCTATGATATTTTTTGCGTTTTTAATAAACATAATTTTATTATAATATTTAAATAATTCTTAAAGTTTTAATTCATACTTTCTTTTCATAGATATACTAGTTAATTGTCATAAAATTATATTTTCAAAACAAATAACTAAAATTAATAAAAATATGAAAATTTAGCGCTGGCAACTACTAAAAATTATGAAATTACTAAAAAAATAATAATTCATAAATTAAAAATTAAAATACATTTGAATTCTATTTAAAAATAAGTAATATTAATAGGATAATTAAAATTAATAATAAAAATTAAAAATATTAAAAGTAATAAAATGAGCCACTTGCCTTCCACTTAAAATGTTATAAAAAATATTTAAAATAATAAAACTAATAATGGTCTAATTATAAATGTCATAAGACTCGCTCCTACTTAGGGATGCTCATTTGTAGAACTAAGCCCAAACCTGGCTAGACCCACAAGTTTTCAGGCTCAAGCTGCTATTTTGTTTTGAGCTTGATCTAACTCAAATCTGTACCAAGTGCACACATAACGTGGATAGTAAGACTATAGATGGATGAAATTTTGATTAGATCCAATTGCATCCACATCCACATTCGATTGCAAAATCTCTAGATCCGCATCTGCATCTAATTATTATGTCGGATTTGGATTGGATTCAAATTTAATCCACAACCATTTTATTGTGTATAAAATGACCAAAAATTTTAAAAAGATAAAAAATCTAATTATTCTTAAAGTATATATGTATAACAATTGTATATGAATATAAAATATTAAATTTATCAACATAAACTTTATATAATTATACATAGTATTTATATGTATACATAATTATACTATATATATACATAAAATAATAAATTTTTATTATTTTTGTTAAAATTATTAATATAATTAACCCAAATTACTAAATTATCTTTGTAACAAATTACTAAAATAACAATGAATCATTTTAAACAAAATTGCATTCCTTTCTTATAATAGTTATCAATTTTTATTGTTCTATTTCTCTTGACAAATCCTGTGCATAATATATGTCTTTGCTATTCTCTTATATAAAGCAAAATAGTGTATGGAGAGGGCCCCTCTTTTAGTGTACGGAATACGGGAATAGCATGTAGAGGGTCGTTAAAAATATTGAATTGGACCGATTAAGTCGTACAAGTGTCAATTAACCAAATTAACGGTCAAACCTGTAGCAGATCTGCTTGTTTCTCTTCCGAGTTCGTCCATCTGACACACTCCCACCCAATTTCGGAAAAAGCAAAATATGCCCACAAATATTTGGTGTTTGATTTGAAAATATGACTGCCCAGTGCCCACAAATAGATTGGACGACATTTTCTATGTCTTGAATTTTAAATCAAAAAGAAAAATGATGGCAGGTTTACAGGCAACTACGTCCATTGGAGACAGATTATGCTTTGGAAATTTGCTTTTCCTGTTTGCTGTCACGATAATGCTTTCCTCACCAATAACGAAGCCTTCCAAAATTTCCCATTAGATTTCAACACTTCATTTTTGTTCCTGCATAAATAAGCCTGAGTCAGTTTTAGTGAATAAAAAAATTGTGTTGTTCATGATAATCAAAAAAAAAAAAAAAAAAAAAGAGAGAAGAAGGGTAGGAGATTACTGAATAGGATACGACTACAAAATGCCCTTCTCAAAATTCTTGGTTGAATCTCCTACGTTCTTTAAAGAGACCAATATTCAAGATCACAAGGTCCGAATGATGTGTGACTCGGCTTACACCTGTCCAAGCCTCCAAGGTAGATTAAGGAAGAGAAGAAATTGTTAAATTTGTCAAAGGTAGTAATAGAAGTTGTGCTTATAAGGGATAGAGTGAACTAAAAAAACCTTTATCTGCTTTTCTTTCTGCAGATTTTTCATCAACATGAAATGAACGATACGTTGGGCATCCAAACCAAAACAGAGATGGACATAAATGAAAGACAATTGAACAGACCTCGGAATAGTATGAGTTGATGGCGGCTATGCAAGCTGCTGAAGATGTAGTCACCACCAGAGCATCTGAAAACAGAATCACCTTCACATGAGCAAGTTCTTAAGATGAAAAACAGAGGAGTCTTATATGTAATGTGTGAAGATACAAGTTGAGCTAATCTTAAACTACTAAAAATAAAACAAACACAGCCAAAGGGTTTTCCACTTGCAAAAAGAATAAAAATAGATCTGTCATTGTCCTTGTTCTCCATTTTCTTTCGATTAGGAAGAAGGGACTACAATGGTGTCACAAACAATTCTGACTATTTTCAAAACTGCAGTCCAAATATGGAGCAGGACACAACATTGAACAACCATAACTTGGGGAATACTCTCAATTTGTAGTCCACCGACTACAAAAAGCAGCATCGATGGCAGTAATTTTCTCTAGTCCATTTGCAGTAATTAGTCTTGATTTTCAATTCAACCAATTAGAAAAAGAAAAACACCAGAAACGCATATAATGCCCACTGCTAGAAGGCCAACACGCAGTAAGCCTTACATAACAGTAGGCTCAGCAACTCAATATGTACAATCAAAGAAATATGCCTAAAACAAGATATCCAAAATCATAGCACAATGTGAGAATTCCTAAAATGAGTTTATGAATCAGGTTTAAAATTATTTGGGTCCAAATAGTGAACTACAACAATTGGAGCTGAAGGAGAAATATTTATTCCCCCTCCAATTGGAACTCAACAAGGGGGGATAAACTCTTTGAATGCTCTAAAAATTCTGAACCAAAAAGATAGGCAAGGTCTCTTTGAGGAACGAAGCAAATTGTCTGAAGACAACTGATTATGGTGTTTTTTTGTGTAAGTTCTCTCTTAGGTGGGACTCATCCATTGATGGTCCTGATCTTGTGAAGATCTGCCATTTATTAAGTTTTGAGGATCACAGACTGCAAATAACAATCATGTGTCACTTAACCCAAGCCAATCCCATAGTCCACTATTTGTTTATAAGCTATCACCAACATCTTGCAAGTAAATGATAAATTACATACCTCAGACCATGCTTTTCAGTACTTGGAGGAAGCAACAATCTAATTACCCAACTCAGATTTGGCAAGTTTGGGTCCATGAGTCAAAATCTTCTTTTCATCTCTATCCAATCCTTCGTGTGCAATAGTCCTCTAAATGTGGGGTTTTCCATTCTTATTATACACCAGTAATCAATGAGATCATGTCCAACCTTCGATTGAAATCTATGCTGAACCATTATTATCTTCATTCTTCCATGGTCTTTTCTTGCATCTGTGGTGAAAGAAAAGAAAGAAAAAAAAAATGGCAAAGCTTAATAAGCACCTCTACAAGAAATACCAAATATAAAAATTTGTTTTCTTCTAGCCGTTATAAATGCACTGTATACCACGAAAGTGGAACATTGCATCATCTCAATGAGATCTAGCATCTGCAACAAGTCAGATGGTGTTCTATATATAATCTTTTTGAAGTGGTCCGAAGGCTAATTGGTTGCAAGGAATTTTCTATCAGTACATGTAATAAAAAAGATGGTGAAAGAGGCCAAGTGTAAGTGCGTAAATGTCACAGGTAAATTTGGCTAAATTATGAGTATTCAAACACATGGTATTCTATTTTTTTTTTTTTTTTTTGAAAAATAATATCCAAGAAGTGAATACTCTTCACTCTCAAAAAAAGACTATTTTCCTCATACATGTGTTTATCTTTTTTCACAAAAAAAGTGCTAATTTTAAACACATAATTACCAATAGAGAATATCCACTCAAAACTAACTTTCAACACACCACTATCTATAAAAAAGAAGTATACACTACAAAGAATGTAAGGCTCACATTGAAGGTCAATCTCTGGTAATAATAGATGAATGGTGTAAGAAGGATTTGGAAGGAATAAAAGAAAAATGTTTTTATATAGTTTTTCAAATAAAAAATAGCCCAGAGAAGTTTGTGTATGGATGACTTTGCCAAATAATTTTAGTGAAAGGAAATTACTAATGAAGTAATTAACTTTTAGTTCTGTTTAAAGTTGAGCTTTACACTTTAGTTCTGTGTACTTCTGGTAAAATTCAGATGAACTGAACATTTTAGCTGTTCAGCAGGCTATGGAACCAATAGTAATGTTCCATGCCAATGATAAAATACATGAGACCCACATTGAGAGATCGAACGGTTATGGGTCTCATGTATTTTATCACTGGTGTGAAACATTATTATTGATTCCACAGCCTTCTGAACAGTTAAAAGCGTTCAACTAATCTTATCTCTAAGATCATAGATTATTGACTCAAAAGTCACATTTATAGGTGTTTACGAACCCTAGAAATCTAGGTCAATTGCCACAAGTATGACAAAAATTATTTGAATGGGGATGAAATTAATTGGACCTGGATCAAATAATTCAAGAACATGTTTTTTATTTCAGTTTTGAAAACAGAAGACACATAAACAACCAAGAACATGTTTCTTGTATTTTAGTTCTAAGAAACAATCTGTTTTCAAATGAAATGGTTTTAATTTTTTTTTTTTTTTTTGGAACTGCAACAAGAAATTAAAAACAATTCACTGTATACAACACCCCCTTAGTAGTTTGACATTTTGGTAACTTTTAGTCGTTGTTTATAAATAATATAATGTATGAAGTTCTGGTGATTTTCCTTAACTAAAAAAAAAAAAAAAACTAGGGAAGAGAGATAACTTGTTAAATGTTTAGAATAATTGAAATTCAGTATTTGGTTATTATATATAATTCCTTTTCTTTTTGAAATGTTTGAGAAAACCTATGATGCCAAAAAGTGTACATGATACCGCAAAGAGCTTTGGTCAATCAAAATCCACCCATGTACTTTCATAAATACCACCTGATTTGTTAATACGTTTATGAGAAATCTATTTGTTGACTTTGACTGGAAAATAAAGGAAAGGGAATTCCATGAGGTAAAATGCCTTTACCTTTAGTCATAATTGATGCTGCTTTGCTGCTGAATCTGTCATTGGATTCTTCTTCCATTGATTTCAATGTGGGGGATGTGGCATATATTCTTCCAGTCCTCTCCTACTTCCTTTCTGCCACGTTCTTCCAGTAGAGGGCATTTATAGATATACAATTTTTGTAGCGAGGAGAGATGCTGCAACTCGTCAGGTATAGAATCAATGTACTCGCAACGAATGATAGACAACTCTTCGAGTGTGTGAAACTTCCCAAAAACATTGTGAAGTGACTTGATAGGTGAGAACCGTATTGTTAAATCATCGATCTTATTATCTGATGGTATTGACCTTAAAAATGCTTCTGCATTCCCAATTAAGTCCAAACGGTGAAGGTGTTGTAGAAGTCCAGATGAGGATGGTGTCCAAGTCAACTGAGGACAATCTCTTATATGCAGTGCTGCTTTTTTATAGAAAATGAGAGGGGGCAGCACTTTTAACTTAGGGCAATCAGAAAGATTCAAATCACAAAGATGTTGCATGAAAGTAATGGAATTCGTTTCTCTACCATCAAATTCTCCCATACCAAGATCCCAATCTTCCAAATTTTTCATTCCACCGATTTGAAGGCTGCCTAAATTTGGGAATGCTTTCTTAGCCCCATCACCGGTTTGAGCAACATCAGCCCAATCGACTCCGAAAAACATATGGATGTCCATGTGTTTTATTTTATCCATACCACCTATCCATAGACGTCTAAGAAATGGTAGATTTCCCAGAGAAGGGGGCAACTTGCACAAATTTTTACATGCATATAAGCGCAGAAACCGGAGATTAGGCAACCCATCATCTCTCACCATCCAACTTGCTAACTTGTTCCCCATGTAACCATATATTGTCAACTCCTTCAAGTTTTTGTGTGGTTGGAGACCCTCAAGTACGSTYTCCATCTTCCTCTCTTTCAAGTTGTCATCTTCAYCATCATGGCCATCAAAGCGTAATWCCAGGTTGCTCATGTTTTCTCTGTTCTTTAAGTCTGCAACATTAGCCTCATTTTCACTTTTTACTCTTCCCAATCCACTTATTTCTAGTTCCCCTTGAAGGAACTTGAGGTCATTTAGTTCCTTAATTGTACATYCCCCTCCACCCCCACCTATRATGAATTTAGATAATGTGCACAGGGAACTTAATCTACCAATGCTTCTTGGTAAGTAGTGCAAAYTTTYAGTACCCTYAATTTCAAGGTGTCTCATTTTAGTCAATTTTCCAATTCCTTTGGGAATTTTGCAAAGCTTTGAACAATWATTAAGCTCCAAAATCTGCAAATTATGTAGATTACTCAATGTTTCWGGCAAWTCTTTCAGTTCSGTATCWGATAAATTAAGGTATCTTAGATGTATCAACWTCTCTATCTTGCTTGGTAATTCYTKAAGACAAGTGCCTCCCARAKCTAATGCCCTTAGACATGTTAATTTATCGATTAAACCGGAGAATCCACAWACTTTTTGAGGGAGTTGTAGAGTTCTTAGCTTCATTGCCTTGTAAATGGACAAGGGGATGGTCTTCTCCYTCAGATCATTACCATCATCATCATCATTTCCTATWWAAGTTATGTGGCGGGCATCTTTGTACCTCRGCTCTTGCGTGATGTTGTTGCCAATGTCTAATACATAGCATTCCCTTTCCGTGAGAAGTTGAGCAAAATCGTGTACCAAATCATGCATCTTGCACCAATATGTCTTTTCAC